TATTCCATTGTGTATATGTACCACTTCTTCTTTATCCATTCATCTACTGATGGACACTTAGGTTGCTTCCATTTCTTGCCTATTATAAATAGTGCTGCGATAAACATACAGGTACATATATCTTTTTTCACCCATTTTTTAATCAGGTTATTTATTTAGTTTTTTTGGTTTTGAGGTGTATGAGTTCTTTATATATTTTGGATGTTAACCCCTTTTTGGACAAATCACTTACGAATATATTCTCCCATGCTGTAGACTGCCTTTTTGTTCTTCTGATAGTGTCCTTTGCTGTATAGAAGCTTTATAATTTGATGTAGTTCACTTGTTCATTTTTAATTTTTTATCTTGCTGGGGAGACATGTCCAGAAAAAAATTGCTCATGCTTATTTTCAAGAGATTTTTGCCCATGTTCTCTTCCAAGAGTTTTATGGTTTCATGTTTACATTTAGATCTTTGATCCATTTTGGGTTTACTTTTGTGTATGGAATTAGTAATCCAGTTTCATTCTCCTGCATGTAACTGTTCAGTTTTTCCAACACCAGTTATTGAAGAGATTGTCTTTTCCCCCATGTATATTCATGGCTCCTTTATCATATATTAACTGACCATATATGCATGAGTTTATTTCTGGGCTCTCTATTCTGTTCCATTGATATATGGAACTGTTGATATGACAGTACCATACTGTGATTGAAGTCAGGGAGCATAATACCCTCAGATTTGTTGTTCTTTCTCAAGATTGCTTTGACCATTTGGGGCCTTTTGTAGTTCCACATGAATTTTAGGATTCTTTGCTGTACTTCATTGAAAAATGCCATTGGTATTTTGATAGGGATTGCATTGAATCTGTAAAGTGCTTTGGGCAGTATGGCCATCTTGACAGTCTTCATCTTCCTATCCATGAACATGGGACAGATTTCCATTTATTTGTGTTTTCTTCAATTTCTCTCATGAGTGTCTCATAGTTTTCAGAGTATAGGTCTTTCACCTCCTTGGTTAGGTTTACTCCTAGGTATTTTATTCTTTTTGATTCAATTGTACATGGAATTGTTTTCCTGATTTCTCTTTCGGCTTGTTCATTGTTAGTATACACAAAAGCAACAGAGTTCTGTATATTGATTTTGTGTCCTCCAACTTTACTGAATCCAGTTATTAGTCTAATAGTTCTTTGGTGGAGGTTTTAGGGTTTTATGTATATAGTATCATGCCATCTGCAAACAGTGGCAGTTTAACTTCTTCCTTACTAATTGGATGCTTTTTATTTCTTTAACTTGTCTAATTATTGTGTCTAGGACTTCCAGTACTATACTGAATAAAAATTGTGAGTGGACATCTTTGTGTTGTTCCCGATCTTAGTGGAAAAGCTGTCACATTTTTTTTGCCATTGAGTAATATGTTAACTGTGGATTTGTTATATAAGGCTTTTATCATATTGATGTACATTCCCTTCATACCCATTTTGTTGAGAGTTTTTATTATGAATTGATGTTGAATTTTGTCAAATGATTTTTAGCATCTATTTTGAAGATCATACGGTTTTTATGCTTCCATTCATTAATGTGGTGTATGACATTGATTGGGATGTACCATCCTTGCATCCCTGGAATAAGTCCCACTTTGTCATGATGAATGATCCTTTTGATGTATTTTGGAATTTTGCTTGCTAATATTTTGTTGAGGATGTTTGCATCTATGTTCATCAGAGATATAGGTCTAAATTTTTCTTTTTTGTGTGTCTTTGTCTTGTTTTGTTTTTAGAGTATAGCTGGCCTCAGAGTGAGTTTGGAAGTATTCCCTCCTTTTTCTATTTTTTAGAATAATTTAAGAAGGATAGGTATTTGCTCTTCTTTAAATGTTTCAGAGAATTTAGCTGTGAAGCCATCTGGACAGTTTTTGTTGGGAGATTTTTTATTACCAGTTCAATTTTGTTACCAGTAATTGGTCTGTTCAG